GGACTCTGGAAACTGGAAAAAGCAAGGAAAGGGATTCTCCCCTAGAGCCTCCAGAAGGAATGCAGCCCTGCCCACATCTTGATCTTAGCCCAGCGAGGCCTGTGTTGGACATCTGATCTCCAGCACTTTAAAGATAATAAAAGTATGGCATTTCGGGGCGCCAAGTTTTTGGTAATTTATTACAGCAGCAATCAGAAGCTAATACAGGTACCAGGTACAAAACACCAAGAACAAATACCAAAAACCCTACCATGTTAACAATGTATGTGAATGTCCCTTCTAAAGAGGATGGAGGGAAAAGAAGGACAACGGCAAAGACCCACGTGATACTCTGGTAAAAGTCCAAGCAATGCTGAGATGGGCCGGCTCATGTCACTAACGCCCAGGTGCTGGACGTCCGGCATGGATGAGATTCATGGAAGAATCAACACTGTACTGTTCCAGTGACTCCGTAAGACGTTTGTTCTGAACTAGGAGCACATTTTTCTCCTTCTCTAAGGCCATGTGCCACTTATAACAACAGCTTAAATTTGACCAGAGCGCCCATGTACTCTTCAGGGACCCACATACTCTGAACCTCAGCTTTCTCACCCGCCAGGCAAGGAGGTTCTACACTCGACTTTGTGCATCAGAACCACCTGGAGGGCTCCTTAAAACACAAATTGCTAGGCTCCACGCCCCCCCTTCCTCATTCAGTAGGTAGAATTGAGGCCAGGGAATGTGTGTCTCTAACAAGATCCCGGGGAGGCTGATGCTGCCGGCTGGGGGACCACACTCTGAGAACCACTGTATTCGACTCTCCTCTCACACCGAAGAGATTCAAGTATCTCCCTGCCCCGCATCTTTCCCATGAAGAGCCACCTTGACTTCCTGGTTCTCAGCAGCTTGCGCCGTATCTCTTGCCCCGGGCCGGCATTCAGTTGTCTGTTGTGCTTCATGTTGCAGAGCTGGCAGACTAGAGCTGGCCCATATTAATAAAGGAGCCACAAAATGTACCTAGAAAGCCACTGTCCTCCCCCACCTCCTAGTCGCTGCCCCCCTTTATCCCTTAGTTAGCTCAGAAAAGCAGCCCCTGCCATCCGGGAGCAGGCCGGGCAGTCTCCCCCACTGAACATAAATAATTCCCCAGGACACCAACATCAGACAAGGCCACTCTGTGGCCAGCATGGGACAAGACAAAAACAAGACCACTCTGTAATCCTGGCTGAACACGGAGAACAAGTGAACCTTGTCCAAATCACAAACGGCCCCACACATCCCCGCATCCCGGCTAAGAGGAGGCACTGCGGCTTCGTTACCAATCACAGCCTCTGTCTGGTCTTCCCTGCTTCTAGGTAAGATTGATGAGGACCCCCAGTCATGGAATTATGTCGCTTCCGGCCAGCATCCAATCCAGAGCAACACCCAGCTTCCTTAAACGCTCCCCTAAAGCCCCTGCCACAGGCGCGGTCCTCCGCGGGGTCTGTCGCTGTCACGAGAGGAGAACCGCCTGTTCCACGCCCCGTGTGGGCCTGGGGGCGGGGAGGGGCCGTGGCGGGAGGGCAGTGATGACTCCTACCCAATTTTCAGATTTCAGATTTCCGCTCAAACACAATCTCCTCAAAGACATTGTCCTTACCCCTCTGTAGCCTAAATCACATTGCCCCTCTCTAATCTCCTTTCGTGAGACCTAGCAGGGCTTCTAATCACCTCTTGTCCTGAGTACTGCATTCGGGCCTTCCTCTCCCACCAGCTGCAAAAGCCACACTGGCAAGCCCATGCACAATGCCTGGCACAAAGCAGGAGATCAATAAATACTGCATGGAGAGTTAGGGGAATGGAGGAATACTGACCACTGTATGCAATCTACTTTCAAACAATTTCAAATACAAGAACTGATGAGAGAATGTCAGTAATGCAACAAGAACTGGAGGTCTGTGCAACCAGGGAGGGAGCGAGGTTTTGCCTGTGCTGTGATGGGTACAAGGGGACAAAGTAAAGGTCACAAGTGATAAAGGTAGAGTCTTTCCTTCCATTTCTAACTTTAGACTGTTTGTGGAGACCAACACATTACATTCATTCTGGCTTTAGTTTAGCATAAAGCAATCTCCCACCAAAAAAATACACTGCTAAAAACAGTCCAAACTTTCTTGTTACCCTGGAATTTTCTAAACAAAAATCATTTGCTGGGCTTGCAAATCCTCCACTATTCACAAATTTGGATCGTTAATATTTGTGCGATCGTAATGACAAGAGGCTTTCCCTCTATCTGGCACTGCAGGCATCTGCCTGCAAGCTCTGAGGGCACATTCTGAGTGGGCTTTTGTAAGAGGCCATTTTGCAACTAACTGGCTTCATTTCAGAGTTAGGGATTTAATGCTCTTCAGTTATTTTTCAGATTAAAGACTATATAATTACACTGCGTTAGCCATCAACAGAAAAATCATTACCAGGCCAGGTAAGAATGCAAGTGTATCAAACTGATACACTGGAGAAATCTTTTGAAAACCAAGGAGACTTGGGGGACTGGGGAAGGGGGCTGGGCCTGTGTGTGTACACACACCCGCTTCAGAAACAGCACTATTGGGTGGCTCCATCAGAAGACGTACAGAATCAGTTGTTAAATACCTGTACATCACCACAAATACACTGCTGAAGATGCTTTAGAAAATAACAGGTGTGGGGGGTGCCTGGCTGGATCAGTCGGTGGGGCATGAGACTCTTGATCTCAGGGATGTGACTTTAAGCCCCACCTTGGGTGTAAAGATTACCTAAAAATAAAATCTTAAAAAAAAAACCAAACAACTCTTTGGGGCACCTTGGGTGGCTCAGTCGGTTAAGTGTCTGACTCTTGATTTTGGCTCACGTCATGATCTCAGATCGTGGGATCAAGCCCGCTTAAGATTCTCTCTCCCCCACTCCCTTTGCCCCTCCCCCTCCCTCTCTAAAAAAAAAAGAAAAAGAAAATAGCAGGTAATCTTTAGCCATAGACTACTACAGACATCTTAAGTCCCACTATAAACATTTTAATGAATTAAATACCAGCATTCATTTTAATCAATCGTCTCTAAGTATTAATACCTGAAATAAATGAAAATCAGTTTCTGCACCCCCTCTGTCTTGTAATGGTTACAGTAAAAAAATATTAAGCTTGAAAGGACTATAAACTGCAGAAGCAGTCTCTAATTTTCTTAGGAGGCTCTGGATAATGAAAACAGTTCAGGCTTGAATAATAAACAGGTCTGTTTCTTCTTAAACTGGACTCCTCTTCCCTCTGAGATACAGAAGACCACAGAAGACATTTGTATCTAACTTCTTTTTTTGTGCAACCCTCTCGGGACCCACCAAAAAAAAAAGGAAAGGTGATCAAAATATCATTTTTGGTTACCTCAGGAAAAACCAACCTGTTACTAAAGTGATCAGTAATGTTTAAAGTATATATTTCTGTTAATAAATTAAAATCATCTTACTAGGTGCCAAAGCAAAACAAGAGTGTTGAGCTAAGTGTTTTGTCTTCCACCAGGTAGGAGGGTTGCATACCCATTCATTCATTCATTCATTCATTCAATAAATATTTATTTAGGGCCTGCTCCACACCACGCACCAAAGAAAACAGTGCTGAGCAAAATGGTACCAACACAGTTCTGTCCTTACGGCTATGGAGCTTACAGTAGGGGAGATAAATGTTAAACTCAAATAAATATGTAATACCGCTATTTTTTAAAAGGTGCAATAGGAGAAAGGGTAACAGAGAAACTAATTTAGACTGCAGATAGTGCAGGGACCAGAGAAGGGCACTGAGAAAAAAGTGACACTGAAGCCGAGAGGCCATCAAATTGCCACCACTTTAGAAAAGGAAAACCATTTTGGCAAATGACCACAAATGGGATTTTAACTGCCTGTCAACAGCTGATTGGGTTAAACCTCCTCTTTCCCAGTGCATCCGTCTTCAGGAGCATCCTATGACTGCTTGCCTATCATTGTTGGACTCGCCTACTCAAATCCTATTACCTGAACACAGAAAGGTCTCATTTTATTATGATTTATTATGATCTACAGCCTTCCTCTGCCTGGCCTAGAAACACCCAAAAATAATCTGCCAAAGGTATGAAAGCCAGAGACTGGCTTCCAGCAAGAACATTAACCGGGTGGGCCACACGATTACTAGCCCAGGCAATCACAAGTCCTTTGCCCAATAAAGTGCCACATCCTCTGGGCAAGGTGGCTCCAATATGCCAGAGTCTATACCAGATGGGACCCAGGGGACCGAACGGTTAGTTGCCTACTTGGAAATCGAGGACTGGATCACCTGCTCCAGTTCCCCCAGCCTTCAGACTTAGAGGATGTAGGAAGTGGCCTTTGAGCATCACGGAGCGGAGAGCTCGTCCGACTGAGAGAAGGCAGGCAGGCAGAGAGGGGGTCAGGGCCGGAGAAAGAGGGGCTCCAAGAGAGACGCGTCTGGCGCTCAGGACCCGAGGATGGCACGCCAGGCCGGGTACTGGGGCGTTTCCCGCACCGCCCCCCCACGTCGGCCCCCAGCAAAGGCAACCCGGCCCCTGGCCGCCCCGAGACCCCGAGATTCTGGCTTCCCCCACCGCGGGGCCAGGAAGACAGACACCGCGAACCCCGCGCTGGGCGGGAGCCCACCAGCTCCCAATACCCACGTCCTCAGCGCAGAGGAGGGCGCGCTGGGGCGAGAAAATGGCCAAGACAAAACTCTCCCCGCCCACCCGAAGAGCCAACCACACCCCCTGCATCCCTCAGCCTCAGCCGCCCCGGGCCGGCCCGCGATCCTCTGCCCAGGCCCCCACGGGGTTCCCGTCGGGGCCGCGCGGGCTCAGCAGGAACGCGAGTGGGAGTGAACGGGGGTGCGCGAGGCAGGCAGGGTGCCCACCGCGGTGTCACCCGCCAGGGCCCTGCCCCCGGAGCGTCCTCCCGACTCCGCGGTCCCGGGACAGGCGCGCCGCCCGCAGACTGAGGTGGACACCCGGGCACTGGGGCGCAGGCAGTCCCCTACTCACCCATTGGCGTCGAGCCGGGCCGGGCCGCCGAGGCAGCGTGAAAG